TAGAATAGCATAATACATTTCTTTCTTTGCAGAGGGAAAAAATAAGTGTCTTAATACATAAAAAGTCGGTAGACAAAAGTAAAACTTTTCATTAGAAATCAAGAACAACAGGTCTTGTCTTTCTGTTAGATGTTATAGAATCAAGACAGTTTCAAAATTGTTATTGTCTTAAAATCTCTTTTATAGGTGTTTATATTTGTATAAACCCAAGAAGTCAGTAGTTTCATGAGAAATAAAACAATTTTTTGAAAAGATTTCTAAAAACTTTACGGGTAGTTTTATAAAAACAAATATTTTTAAGAGAGTTTTTTTTTATCTTTCTTCCTTTTCACCTGACGAGTGACGAATATTTCCTAAGTTAATCGAACAATTCATCAAGCATTAAACACTTCATTAGAAACCCACCGATCTTCGTTAATTAATCACCTTAATTAAGAGCGTTTTCAATTCCGATCTTATTGCACATTTTCCAATTAGCTTGCATCAGAGTTAATCACCAGTTTGAAATGTTACGAAAAATTTAGTCATACGATGTGGTAGAAATATTTTCAGTAAAATTTGCTTTCAGAGTAAATTTCAATAATATTAATTTTATTTATAACATGATTATTTTTCTTAATGAATTACGACATTTAATTAAAACATGAAATTTACAACAAGAAACGATATTAAAGAAAGTGTTTTTTTTTTTTAAAGTAAAGAAGCATTTTGCGCATGCATTAATTGTCTCCATGTAATTTATTAAACAATTATGATTATGTTGCTCTTTTATGATGCACTTGTTGGTAAATGCATACTGATTTATTGGAGTCTCAGTTTTATTCCGAATATCTATGTAATATTTCAAGTAAATAATTCCACTAACTGTTATATTTTGCTTCTGAAGTAGCGGGACATTTGTCTTATATTCTGACATTTACCATGAATCAAAAAGGCTTGTTAATATTACGAAATAATTTAAAAGCTACTTAATTGCAATTAATGGGTCCTCGTGACTCAAAAGGCCCTTCTCCATTATTAGAAAGCCATATCTCGTTATATTTACATGTCGTTAGTATGACAATCACAAGAGGGAAATCTTTCCCTAGCGGTCTTTAGTCTGACCCCTGGCACTCGGAACTTTTCACCATTTACATGAAAATGACATGCGGTTTGCATTAAAAATGGCCCTTCTCCTTGAAGTACGAAACCGTTTAGCATGCACACAATGACAAAATGACATTCTCTATCAAAATTCTCGACAGTTGATTAGAATCATCGTTTTTATAATTTATAGTTATGTATTCATATATAGTACATAAAACATTCGACTTTCTCTCTGACAAAAATAATAAATACATGATCTCTCTTCTCTCCTAAATCTTTTTGTTTTTCCCCAAACGCTTTGATTTTATGGACCGATTCTTTACAAAAATTGATTTTCATGTTTTAAAATTGTACATTTTTTTTCCAATCCAACTTTTTCCAAGGATGCTGATTTAATTACCCTTTTCTTTATCTTTAAATATGGAAAAAGTGTACATATATAGGGCATGATAAAAAGATCGATGTCTGCTTAAAAAAAAACTAAAATCAAAAAGTTGGGACAAGAGTCTCAAATTGTTTTTGTTGTTTGATGTTAACTTTGTGATTTTCTTCCAGATATTTAACTTTGGAACTTGTTTCTAAATAACAATTAATCAATAGATACATAACTATTTTTTTTCGTATTGAATACCGAATGAATTGTAAAGCGAGCAAGTTTTATACAAAGTATCATGACAACAATGGTTAATTAGAATGCACTAAGTAACTCAAAGCCAGCTTTAATGTTTTGCCTGGCTTATTTTTTATAAGCTTTTAAATTCAGCATAAAGAGAGCCCTGATAAATAGTGACATCAAACTGGCGTTCTAATGTCAGAAATTGTGAACTTTTGAAAGCAGATCGCGTTCTCGTTAAAATCCCGCCACTGGCACGAAGCGACCTTTGACACCATACCGATCTTTTGCATAATAATGGCCGCTTAAAATCCGTATTTCTAGTTGCATATGTTTGTTGTGCATAAGGCAATGTCAAGAAAAGGCAGATTGTGCCGTTATAAGGGGAAAATGATATCGAATGCCTATTCCTGGATAAGTAGCCTGCTAGCTTGTGTTGGGTGATTATTGGTCTTATGCGTTAATTTTCAATTCCCTATGCAAGACATGCGCGATTGGGGGCATTGCCATAACCTTTGTATCATTAAAATTGAAATATATTCCCAACGGTTCGGCAATTTTTGTACAGCATTACGAGCAGAACAAAGAGATTTTATTCAATTTGAATAAAGTAATAAACTTTTGTAATTAATGGTGACAAAACAATATCAACGCACATGTTATCCCAAATGATATACATGTACCTGAATGTTGACATGTTTATTTCGTGTGATTTTCATATAAAAAGAATGGAATGCTGTGACAAGAGTGCAAGTCCTTTTATGATGCGCAAATAACACTTGCTTGAACGTTTGGCCGCGTTTAATAAATTTTTGGATAAAAATATTATCGCTTTTATGATATCTTAAAATATTTTTTTTAATCTTAGGACCTCACACACCAACAAGTAAGAGCAGAAACTTTTAAACTCGGTACTTTCCGAGTAGCAATTCTCTCTCAAACAAAGCGTAAATGTCCTAGATTTTCAAGGTCTTTGTTCACAATTTTATATTCAAATAAAATACTTCAACACTTCTGATTTATGAACAAATTAAAATGTCCTTCCTCTTTCCGTGAATGGAATCCAAATCTTGTTCTTAGTCATATGAGCAAAAATCTGGCTTATCAGATGAACACCAAGAGATCACCCTGTGGTTTATGCGCACCTTTTTGGTGAGACCGGGTACGCTTCACCGCCATGATGTAGGAGTGAATATGAAATTTTTACAATTAAATAGTTTTTGTTACATGCAAATTTGGGCTTATCTTATTTAAGATTTCTATAATTTCATTATAAATAAAATGTAGGTTTTGTAATATATAATTACTAGGCTTTGTCATGTCTTCAGGTTGTTGATTGTGACATTATTTATGTTCGACACTATACATGCCTACTTGGCAATGATGTATAAATCACTCGATTTGATCGGACCGGGATCAAACGATTTCTCGTAATTTAATACAAACTAGTGCTAATTGTAACGGGGACCGTTACAGATGTTCCCCAAACGCTCCCCAACTCCCTTTTGGTGCCATATTCCCTGTAAGCTTCATTTAATAAGACAACCTCTATGCATCTGAGATTTTAACAACATTAACAAAGAAGTGTACAAAAATTATTTAAACTTTAGCATTGCACGCGTGCACATGTGAATGCATTTGCCTCATGACCATATCATCTTGTCTACACAATCTATATTTTTAATATACTGAATATTAAAGTATTTAATCCAAAATTATAAAAAAAAAAAATACGCTCATTCAAGTGTATGTTTGATTTTACTCATTTCACGTTGCATACATGAGCATGGTGACCATACCTTCTTGTAGAAGTCCATTACATCTATCTATGTTCTAAATTCCACCCCGTTTGGGTGAAGTTTCAGCCAATCAGATTGCAGCACATGTACACGCACGTGTATGCATGTGCATGGTGACCATACCTACTTGTAGAAGTCCATTATATCTATCTATGTTCCAAATCCCGTCCTGTTTGGGAAAACCAAGGGAGTTATAGCTGTTTAAAGTTTCAGCCAATCAGATTGCAGCGCACGTGCATGCACGTGTTTTCATGATAATTGCTTTATTTCATGTTGTAGGATATCCTAATGCATGGCTATGTTCAAAATTTCAAAGGATTTCGTCAAAAAACAAGAAAGATATTGAGACTTTAGTTGCAGCCAATGAGAGCGAAGTGCACGTGCATGCGCGTGAGATCTTGCTATTTTCACCATGTCGTCATGTCTATACTACTAATATATCCTCACATTATGAGTTTCAAAGCATTTCATTTAAAAATAGAACAGTTGTGGCTATATCTATTATATTGGTCATTTCACGTGTTGCACGTGCACGCTCTTGCAAGCACGTGCGCGCAAAATGACCTTGATTCCGCAAATCTACATAACATGTCTACTAACCCTAAAAAGGTTTTACCTACATCGGACGAACAGTTTACAAGATCATTCCCGGACAAAAAAGTTCCAGGAAGAAGAAGAAAAATAATAATAATAATAACTAGAACGATACTCGTTGCGAGCAACGAGAGGTCTTCCGTACGATTCTGAAATAAAAAACGAAAAATCTAGCAGAAAAGTGATAAAAGAAATTCGGACATTTGGGGGAGCGAACCCGCGTCTCCCGCGTGACAATCCAACGCGCTAACCATTCGGCCATTGAAAACACCGCTTCAAATTTTTAAATGCGAATATCTCGAGATTGCCTTTTTTGATTCTAAAAGAAATTACATATTACGCATTTGCAAATGAGTCTCTATTTAGATTAAAAACATCGAAGAAAAATATTGAAAAACAAAAAAATTGAAAAATTGCATTTTTTAAATATGCTTCCGGCAGAAACCGGAAGTGCTGACGACGCACGAAAAGGCAATTCTGCAAACCACAAAGGCATGATCTATCATCTTCTATAAGTCTCCAGTTCATATTCTCAGCCATTTTCGATAAAAGTGCGCGACAAAATCGCATTTAAAAATCAGAAAATTGTCCATAACTTGGCACCGGAAGCGAATTTTCCAATTTTTTTTTCGGTATGCACAACTTCATGTAATGACGCATATTTTGTGAAAGTTTCATCGAAAACCGCTGAATAGTTTTCGAGAAATCGCGTGCACAAAATTTTGTCAAAAAAAAGAATAATAATAATAAGAAACAATAGAATCACTATAAGGTCTTCCGTGAAGACGGAAGACCTTAATAATAATAATAATAAGAAACAGAGTAAAAACAATATGTTCCCCAACTTCGTTTGGGGAACATAATTAGGATGAGAAATATGTCATAATTAAATTTTCTTTTAATTTCAGAGGCAAAACGGAGAGAACAAGCAGCTTTATTTGGGAAACACCAACCACCAAAAAAGCGACGGAAGTCCCGAACAGCGTTTACAAATCAACAGATTTACGAGCTAGAGAAGAGATTTCTATATCAGAAGTACCTAACCCCGGCAGATAGGGATGAAATCGCTCAGAACCTCGGACTTTCCAACGCTCAGGTGATCACCTGGTTCCAGAATCGCAGAGCAAAGTTGAAACGCGATCTAGAGGAGTTAAAAAACGACGTTTCTGCGACTCAGGTATTGAAATCGCCTTCACATCAAATGAAAGACGATAATGTGTCAGAGAAATCATTTAATACTGACCCCGATTTGTCAAGGTCAGCAGATGAGGACGATTGTGAACCTTCCCCACCAAAAATGCAAAGGACTTCCGAAAGTGAAGCAGAAAATGTATCAGAAAAAGACGAGTGTTCCGATGTTGACATGGAGATACATTCACCCTGATATTAGAACCTGAACCACATCCATAACGTTCAGTTTTCAGTTCCACATGTCCCAAAATGTGCCATATGATCTAAGTCTCTTATCGATTGACATTTTCGGTAAAACTAGTGACAGGTTAGGTCATGACCTTAACATTCTTGTTGCAGACTTCCTCGCAAACTCTTTCGGAGGACTGCAATAGTTTGTAAAACATGTCTCCATAAGGTGAACAAGAAATCAGTAAACACGCATCTCATTTAGTTTCCCTCATTCTTCGAAATCGAATGAACTTGGCACTTTTTTTTAAAGAGCAGATGTGAATGCATTGGTAAGAGTTGCGGGAGAGTATAGCGGAATTTCATTGCTAACTTACAAGTTTCCTTACATATCCTATTTAAGATGTTGAACGAGTTGCTACGGTAGATAGCTATGTAGACTTTCACTAGAGACCAGGTTTATTGACTCGGTGCAGATTCTGTACCTTCAGATTTGTTTCTTAATTCTTATTTGGAATTAAACACCTTGAACATAATAAATATGAATGTTACAGATTTTTGTTTCGCGAGTCTTTTTTTACCTGAGATTTTTTTATGCATGTGCATTGCTTGAATTTTCTGAAAGTAATTCATCCTTGAAAAAGAAAATTAATCATTATTTCATATATTTTATAAACAATTTAAGACTATGGAATTATATTTTCAGAATAAAGATAAAGAACATTTATTTAACGTTACATGATAAATATATTATGAATACCTTCAAGCCATGCACAATAAGTCAATTGGTATTCCTAAAATATTTTACAATATACATGTACAAAGAACACAAAAAATGGAAAATTCTAAAGATTTATTCTGCAATATTCCGAAAACACAAAGATGGAATTGAACACAATCTATATAAACAATCCTATATATATATTGGCATTGTAGCAAAACAAATACAGTGGTAACTCTAACTTTGTTTATATATGTATACATGACTTTTTTGTACTATGAAAATCTGGAGAGTTCCGAATGGCGTTTAAATTAAAACGAGTAAAAGAAAGTTGGGGAAAATACTGAATTCTTCATTTATTTAGATTAACTATATTATCCATCTTCATTTATTGAGTCAAAAATCGTTTTAGGGTGATTATGAAATTTTCTGCTACATTGCGGGTGTATGACGGGCATTCAGATTCTAACTGTTGTTTTTCCAAGACACAGTTATGGGTATCCTAACCATACTAGACAAAAATACTATTAACAGCTAGTGTGACATTTTACTCCGCACACGACATTGTCCAGACTTTTTATTACCATTTCCAGTTATGATATCCAAAATATTTTTTATTGCTTGGTGGGATTTCTTAGCAGTATCCAAGGGTCACAGGTTGAACTCAGAATCATCTCCTCTTCTAAAGATAAGGAGTCCTAAAATCAAGAATCCCATGGGAGAATGATGGGATTTTCAGTCCCACCAACTATCCTACCTTTCTCCCATGGGAGAAAAAATGTCAGATGGAATATTTTCTCCCATTTGAGTTTTTCTCCCACAAAGTTGTTAAAATAGGATAAACCTCACGGATATTGACAGTGAATCATTTTCTCCCATATTCTGTGAAACATGGAATATACCCCATAAATTATGACAATAACAAATCACTCATCATAATCTATAAGATATATTCCACGTTTAAAAATGTACTGGAGAAAATAATTCATTGTCAATATCCGTGGGATTTATCCCATTTTAACAAATTTCTGGGAGAAAAAAAAAATCCTACTGGGAGAAAATGTTCCATCATGATCTGAAAGGTGGGAGAGTTGATCCCACCATTCTCCCATGGGATTCTGAGTTTTAGGACTTTATATCTTTAAAAAAAAAAAAAGAAGAGATATTTGTAAGTTCAACATGAGACCCTTGGATTCTGCTAATTATTTATTTCTATTTTCAAATCTAGTAAGGGTCATATTTATATATCGCGCTGAAATTAAAGTATGGTTCTTTATTCTAATGGTAATAATATATAAAGCGTCGGTTGACAATGGTTTTCCTTGGGGTGTCAATTTCAACTGTTACCCTCCAAAACAGGCACCATTTATTTTAATATACTGAATGTCTTCTTGACTTAGGATGTCAGAAAAAAAATCGTCGATCGTCTTTACGTTCATGTTTAGAAAGCTTTCAAAATCCATGCTACTTCGAAAAAGATTTACTGACCTCTTTATTGTTTATTTGATACTCTAAGAGTCCTTTATCATCTAAAGTTTCGTTATTTCTGCACTCGCAAGCATGTTTCGTCTGTCGTTTGTTGTTTTCAAGAAAGCTACATCGGACGCAAGCTTTTATTGACGTCAAGTTTATTCCGGTTCTTTCAAACGCACAACTGACGTATTGAGAATTCTACGCTGAACCGTACGCGCATAATTTCCACGCATGTGACATTACCGTTGTGTTACCCGTTGTCACGTGTGTTGCTAAGGCTGAGGGTAATAGAACGGATTGTTAACTGCGTCTAAACCAATCAGATTTTAGTATTTAACATGAAAGTATAATAATAATTATTTTATTACGTAGATCACAAAAATACATTATTATTAGGAATAAGTTCTTTGTAATGTTTTTCCAACATACACTGCAATCTTGCCCTGACATACTCTGTGTATACCAAAGAAAATCATATGGTTATATTGGAGCGGGATATTTATAAACTTACGTTTACCAATTGTCTTGTAATGCATGTTCCTTGTCAAATAAAGTAGCAATTTCTTGAGAAAGTATTTTTTAAACGAAACTTTTGTAACACCACCAAAAAAGACAATATCTCGGATCTCTTCACTCTGATCGTGTAATGTTCAGGGAAAGTGATTTCTTTGTGGGTACAAAAGAAAATACTGCAGGTCTGTATTATATTTCTTATCGAAGTGTTTGTAGCAGGATGCAAAGACATGGTAAATAAAAGATTTTTGAGATATCTGTTCGAAGATGCAGATAAACTGCTTAGAAATTTTTAAATAAAAATTTATTGTAAGCTTATGATTTTAATACAAGTTCATGAAATATATGGAGATAACAAACAGTATTCAAGCTCGGGAGTTCATTAAACAAAACAAAATAGGAGCAGAGCAAACACGGATCTCTCAACCATCAGAGATGGGATCAGGTGTCATGGAGGACTGAGCATACCCTGCCGACCCGTCACATCCGCCGTGTAAACAATGGTCTAACAATAAGTATGAATATATATTAACCATAGAACTTAACGAGACTGCTGATATTCTTTTTTTCAGCAACTTGTTTGTCAATAACTTAACTCGTTTTAAAAATTGTTCATATACGTAGAGAATGCTTAACTGAGAGATATAAACCCGTATGCTGGTGATGAAGGTATATTGCTGCATTAAATAATGCTATCGTATTGGTTTTTCTAAGAGTTTTTTATTTATAAACTGGTAAATCTTTAAAAATGTTCTATATAAAAAAAATCATAAAATTAGAGTACTGAATATTAAAAACAACAGATCTAAAGATGCATGGATGGGGATTGATTTTTTGAAATAAAGAAAGATATATTGTTTATGTAAACATAAATATCCCGACCCCATCACAAAAGAGAGCAAAGCTTTGGGGTGAAGTCATCAATAGTTTCTGGTCAAACTGAAAGTCTTTTAGAAGCTTCACAGCAGGTACATTTATCATCATTTCTTTTAATGCTTAACCTTTTTGCACCTATAAGTAGGAAATGTGTAATTAAAATTACTTTGCTTAATTTATTTCATACCTAAAAAGGAATTAACAATTAAAACATCATTAAAGTAACTATAAAATGTATCATCTAATGAGTTTTGATTTTAAATGGGAAGTTTATTTGTCATTTTCTGTTATTAACCAAATTCATCAAAAAGTATGATCTACTTTCACTTTTAATTTAGTTCTTCAACTATCAAAGGTAAGATGCTCATTTAATATTCACAAAAATGTCTGAGTGAACTTAAGATTCATTTGCAACATCAGAAGTATTTGTCATTAATGGCGAATTTTTGACACGCACCTGTTTCATTGTATTTCCCTAAGCTGAACAATTGCCTGGTGCGTTTGCAATATGTATCTTAAACTTTTCCAAACTTTCTGCATTCCATTGCTACATACAAAATTATGTGAACATTTGCAACATCATAGTTATAGATGAAGGAGTCCAACAGGCAAACACAAGGGACCTTTCAAAGCGTGCCAAACATGAAGAGATTACCCACATTTCAAAAGTTTTTTTGCAGATAGGCGGAAGGATATAACGGAACGATAAGCAATTTACACTCTCGATCTTCGTTAGAAACATAATTCATCGGGTTAAGTAAATTAAATCACCATTTATTGTTGAATTTATTAACTTTATAGATAATTTTACTGATCACAGAAAAGAGAGTTTTTCCCACTTTTTATGCAATGTTACAATTTTCTAAAAAAAATATAATCGATATTTTATATGATGAATACATAACTGGGGATTTAAATTATGAACGTACCACCTACTGAACATGCTAATTTCAGAGATTCTGTATTCCCCTCTTAAAAAAGGGCATATTCGGATGTAGAGGGGGAATGTTGATATAGAATTTCATTGCAAAAGATCTAAAGCTTATTGAGACATCGATCGGAAAAGAAAGACAGTATTACACACAAACTGAATACTAGTATTTGAATCTATGAACTTGACCTTTTACCTCAAAATCAATAAGCCAAAAGAAGTGCAATGAAGAATTTAATGGCAAAAGTTCAAAGACTTCTTGAGATATCACACAGAAACAAAAGTGTGACAGATAGAAAGACAGATGGACTGACGGACAAACAGACCGAAATTACTATCCCCCACTTTCGTTGAAGTTTGGGAATAAACAAAATCACGAATTGCCTATATTCTCCTTTTTAGATAAGGCATAAAACACACAGTGCAACTTCTCGTTGATATGAAAATACTGTTATGATAAAAAAAATCCTTCAAATCTAAATGAAAATAATCTTCTAATGCCTGCTTATTCCTCGCTCTATCAATAAAAGACCTATAAAACTGACTAAATGTGAATCGATTCCATTTATAGAAATCGATTTATGTGTCAGCAGAACCCAATTAACCAATCAATCATTTAGATTGACATACCAAGGCAATACAAACATAAATTATAGATATAATTCACCAGGACAGATTCACAACAAAACCGATCGGGTTCAAGAGGATGCTTGGAATAACCAAGATGTCGGGTCTGAAAGACAAACCTTGCTCCCTGCCAAAGATACTGGGTAATATGCAATATATTTTATACATGCCTTTATAATAATCAAATACATGTGTACCAGGGATTCTACCATCATGAAATTAGAGGTAAAATTCTGTTTTGATGGATGATATCAATTTGTATAGATAGAGTCATTGCAAAAAATGTTATATAATTAGCATTAAAAACAGAAAAGTGCTGGAAACGTGCATCAACTTATCAGATCTTAGGGGTTTAGATTATCTCGTCTTCCTGTATAGCAAAACCTGAACCTCTGTATAATGTATGTGTAATTGA